GAAAACTCTGGTCTCTGTTGTTTTGTAGCACAATCTGCAATGCGTAGTAGGCGAATGATTCAGAAAAGACATTAAATTCAAGTATGGGATTGAAACAATAATTGGATATGAGCACTAAAACATATACAAACCTCGCAGTTCAAAGGCGGTTCATATGGATCGTCTACTCCTGTGAAACCTGAAGAAGAAAATGTTTTTGGGAACAATTTTAACATATAAATTAAAATGGCTGGATCATGAAGGTTATAATTAAAGAAGATCAAACAAATCGAGTTTAATTGCAGTGATTACCTTTGATTTTCCCCGCGCGTGCACGCTTGTATAAGCCCTTTGGGTCTCTAGCTTCACAAACATGGAGTGGCACATCCATGAATACCTAACAAGAGAACCAAAAGAGAAAGAGAGACTTCAATACATTTGGTTTTTAAGTTTTGATGTTGACTCTGGATTCACATTCAGTTTAGTTTTATGCATTTTTGCTAAACCTCGATGAAATCTCCTTCTGGTAACAATGCACGGCAAGCAGCTCGTTCTCTTCGGTAAGGAGATATCAAACTTGCAATACAGATGATTCCAGCATCCGCAAACAATTTAGCAACTTCACCAACTCTTCGAATGTTTTCAGCTCGATCTTCTGCTTTAAAACTAAGATCGCTATTTAAACCATGTCGAACATTGTCACCATCAAGTACATACGAAAGCTTTCCACGATTGTGCAAAGCTCGGCTAAGAGCACAAGCCAAACTACTTTTCCCTGAGAAAAAAAAAATTAAAAAGAATTTGAAGGAATCCAGTAGAAACCTCAAGCTTAAATAGTAAGGGAGATTAATCAAGAGACTAAGAACCAAACCTGAACCACTTAAGCCAGTAATCCAAATAACACATCCTTTTTGGTTAATCAATTCTTGCCTGTCGGATTTAGTAATGGAACAATCATGCCAAACAATGTTCTTTTGCTTTCCGTTTATGATTTGCTTCGTTTCACCTAAAGTTAAAGATTATTATCTGAGATTAGATCCATTCAGATAATAATTATTTGATTACTCTCATCGAATAAGTTTCCAAAGTTATGCTCATTGAAATTTTCTGGTCTTGTTACTAGAAATCTGAACAAAAAAATATTAAAGTGGAGTAACAATGCAGAGAGGTAAAATTACTCAAGATCGCAGGAAGATTCACACGAAATTAGCTAAAGTCCGATCCAAGTGTTAAAGACTACTAAATCATAGCAACACAAAAAAAAAAACAGAGGAATCAAATCGGAGTTATTACCGGCGGGATCAGAGGATCGCGATGAAATCGACTCACCTGTCGCCATGATCGGACGGAAGAAGCTTAGTCTCCTCTCGTGACTTTGCCCGGGAAATTTCAGACCTCGATTACCGGTGGGATCCGGACTCAGGGAGCTAGACAACGATAATCTCTGAAACCGGAGAGATTCAAAATCTCTGAACGCCGGCGAAACATAGCACTTTCCCACACATCTCCTAAACGCCGCAACATCCATATCTCAAAAAACCAGTGAAGACAAAATTCGATTGAAACAGATTAAGACGCCGAGAGATTTCAACGATTCGATTGAACAAGCTCAAACGGTGACTGTGAATCAAATGGAAAAAATTGAAATATTATTCATATGCACAAGAAAAATTATTTGAAAAATGAATTTAAAATTTGTTGTTTATTTTGTGTCTTTGTGGGAGCCGAGTGGTTAGCCACGATGGATGCGCGAGTTTTAACGACGCGCTATTTATGGCGCGTGATCGACACGTGGCGACATCGGTGGCTTTGTCGGATTCACCTAATCCAAGACTCTCAAATGTGATTTGAGAAAGTTTTGTCTTTTTAGTCAAGAGATAAACATTATCAAATGGTATTAGACAAGTGTCAAGTGTATTTTTTTTATATAATGAATATTTAAATGGATTTTTTATATACTAACCAATGAGTCAATAACCAATACCATTTCAATATAATTTTTATTTATAATGTATAAATGCAAACAAATGAAAAACGAGTCTTTTTATACTTTTTTAAAAGAACACGTACGAAATGCTCAAGTATTGGATTAAACAATCGAACAACAAACGATATAGTGTAGTAATCAAATAAACGAATAGAAAAATGGGCCTTGGAATGGCTTAAAAGCCCATAAAACTTCTTCAAGCCTACTGACCCAGTTCTAGCAAACCCTAATTCTCACTTTTGAAACCAAAACGGTGACGTTTAATTAAATATCAATATCCCTTTATAAACTGATTCACTCATCTCCTTCACTTCCTCAGCCGCACCAAAAAAAACCCTAATCTCTGCATTTTCGCAGGAATACCCATCAAAATTCGGCGACGATGAAGTACAATCCGCGTGTGACCTCTTCTCGCCGGAAGAACAGGAAGGCTCACTTCTCGGCTCCTTCGAGCGTGAGACGCGTGCTCATGAGCTCGCAGTTATCAACCGAACTCCGTAAGAAATACAATGTCAGATCGATGCCGATTCGCAAGGACGACGAAGTTCAGGTTGTTCGTGGGACGTTCAAAGGAAGAGAAGGGAAAGTGATGCAGGTGTATCGCCGCAAGTGGGTGATTCACATCGAGAGAATCACGAGGGAGAAAGTTAACGGAACAACGGTCAACGTCGGAGTCAATGCGTCGAACGTTGTGATCATGAAGCTCCGTCTCGACAAGGACAGGAAATCGCTGTTGGAGCGTAAGGCTAATGGACGAGCCGTCGCGGATAAGGAGAAGGGAACGAAGTTCACGGCGGAAGATGTTATGCAGACCGTAGATTAAGATAAAGTCAAGATCTTTCAAGGTTTTCTAATCTTTATGAAGTTATATGAAATTTTGATTTCTGAATTGAAATGTGAGGATGATTTTAGAACTGGAAGTCGATTTTGTGGTTTTGGTACTAATCTACCTTTATTTATGATTATATATTATGCTTTTGAGATTTAGTGGTTTAGAAGTTGGATTGAGTTTACATTTGATTTTCAAATCACATGAAAATGAGGGCAGAGTGATAGAACAAAGGTCATATTATCAGAGCCTCTCGCAGACAATATAGAGAGCTCGATAAGTAAAAACCAAATCTGAGCATATAAATTGACTTGTTTAGATGAAAATTGATCCGCTTTTGTTACGACTGTACAATGAATATGATATGTTTCGAACTTATCGAACAATTTTTAAAAAAAATGAGAACCACGTGTGAATGAATTTCTGATTTACTAACTTTTTGTATGGATTAAAATGAATTCGTGTTCAAGTGCTTTATCTAGTGTTCGTTGTTTCTTTATATCATGTCTTGTGTGGTTCTGATCTCTCATTTGGGTTCATACATTTTCGTTGCAAAACCCAATTTCGATGCTATTTCTTTCTTTCTCGATGTAATGACATAAAATAGTTGCCAATAAGCGTACCAAGAATATTGCTTCGTAAAAAATGTCAGAAAAAACCAACATATCCGAAAAAAGAATTATCCGTCAATATCACTGCGGAACTACTTATTCCCAAAAAAAGAAGAAGGAAAACACAAACTCTCGGGTCCTGCCGTAGAAATCAACAATGAGAGTGACGAGAAACATACGGAGAGACTCAATCGGGTGGGTGGGTGTGTTCTCAAGGTTTGAGAGCAAGAGAGAGACCAAACCTTGGATGCTTGTCTAAAGCCTTAGTGTCGATCTCACTGGAAACAGTAACGAGTGATTTAGGGGCCACCTCGTGCTGGAGAAGAGCACCGAGTGTGCCATAGTTGTTGAGCTTAGCTTTCACTGTAGTCGAATTATCAATCGCATATAATCCACCAACCGTTATCGTGTTTTCGTTAGTCGAGAATTTCCTGTAAACCTCACCAACTGCTGCGCTTCTCTTATCGTCGAGGTGGTGGAGGTAAGAAGCTTTGATCGAGTCTCCTTTCTCTCCCCTGAAAAATTAGAATCAGAACCACACAAGACACAGCTAGTGATTTGCTTTATTTAGGATTTGGGATTCTTCTTACAATATTATGGAAGCGCTTGCGTCTGGTTTTGTCACACTGATTCCAGCGTTGTACTTGGTGAAGGTTTTGGAGCTTGTGTCGTATCCAGCTTCAACACCAAATGAGATGACTGGTGAACCGAGAGTGGCTGTTATGTCGATTAAAGGGTTTTGCTTCAAAGCTGCAGCTGCGGTAACAGTCGCATGGTCGTGGAAGTATTGGACCTCAAGCTGTTAACAAAATTCACAAGTTAAAAGGGGAATCTCTTCAATCAAACATCGTGATTTCATACAAAAGAATTCTAAAGTTTTAAAACCTTGGCAGAATTGTAGTCAGGGACTTTGAAGGAGGCAATGGCTTTTGTTGATGGGAGAATCTCGGTGAGTGTGACTGTTGTCAAGACCTGCCAAAAAAAGATATACAACCTCGCTTTGAGGACTAGTTTGGTTTGAAGTAACAAAATGTTTACTTGAATCACTACTACAACACTTACACTAGCATCAGTGTCGATTTTGACATCGAACAAAGCATTCTTGTACTTGTATTGTGTGGCAACATCAGCAGCATGCACTCCTCCTTTCTTCAGAGCAGTAGAGGTAAAGGCCTAAACACAGAACACAAGCAAGAAAATAAAATAAGGCTCTCCATTCGTGCAACTAACCATCGAGTTAAGCTGGCTACATTTCAGACAATCATTAATCGTCTGAGGCCAGAAAGCCCTAACATGAATGCTATTAGATAATTGATACTGTCACACACAAAAAAACCTGAATTCTACTGTAAGCTAGTTAAGCAAGCAACTTACAGAAGAAATTGTCTATGAATCAAACACCAGAATCCTTTTGGGATAACTTTACCAACGCAGACCTCACTTTCTCTCATTATCAAACTTCTAGTTCTTAAACAGAAGTAATTCCATCCTATATACTCGTCATGTCTCTCAGATCCCTTGACAATTACCAGAGATTATGAAATTGATTTTACCAAGGATATGATGGATCAGCAGATAACATATACTCTAAGTACTGCCAAATGCAAACTAAACAGAAGAATATCAGAGAAATACAATGATAGATGGCGAATTTCAAAACATTATTAGCCTCGAGCATGCAATCGAAATCAAACGAAAAGCAGAAAAAGGAAAAGGAGATGCATCGATATAACACGTACCACACCGGAGACACTGTAAGTTGAGATACTGAATTTCTGATCGGAACTGTAGTCCCTCGTCAACAGATCTATCACAAAAATCACCAGAATCAGCTTAAAGATCAACCGAATCACCCAATCAGAATCAAGAATCTAACAAATCTGTTGTACAGATAGATTCAAAAACACCAGCACTTCCAATCAATGAACAGACGCAGCAACAAATTGCGCGATTTCAACCGGAATAGAAAACGACGAGAGAAGGATAATAGGAAGAATCGGAAACCATACGATGAATTTACCTTTGGCTTTTTTGCCGATATCTGTGAATAGCCCTGGACCTTTGCTCATGGTTGATCGGAGATATTGAGAGATCGACGAAGATTTGGAGGAGGAGAAGCGGTGAAGAAGATACGACTGGATTTTATTTTTTATTCCGTGGTAGACGAAAATAAATAGCGAAAATTATGTTAATTATAATAACAGCCTGTGACTTTCTTTATCTTTAGTGACAAACCACTCACAACCGTTGATGTGGCACATAAGAAAATAAGATGACGCTCTGTGGGATCCAGTTTAGGAATTACGTAAGTCTAATACTTGAAGGTGCCTGATTTCACCGATAGATCTAACAATGGCGACGAACAAAATCGTCCGTTTGATCGCACCGACCAGATCCGCCTCCACGAAATTCGTCGAGCCTGTGGCACGGTTTCTAAGCTCCGGTACTTCTCCTCTTCCGCCGCAGCCTCCATCTCCGTCACCGAATCAGGATCAGATCGTGAAGCCAGATCAGAATCTTCCAAAGAATCTGCAGATGCC